GGCCGGTGTGGCTCAGTGGTTGAGCATCGATCTATGAACCAGGAGGTCACGGTTCGATTACCAGTCAGGGCACATGCCCAGGTTGCAGGCTGGATCCCCAGTGGAGGGGGGCGGGGGGGGGGGTATAGGAAGCAGCCAATAAATTATTCTCTCTCATCAGTGATGTTTCTATCTCTCCCTCTTCCTTCCTCTCTGAAATCAATAAAAATATATTTAAAAGAAAAGAGAAAGGTGTCCAGGCCCTAGCTGGTTTTTCTCAGTAGTTAGAGTGGCAGCCTATGGACCAAAGGGTCATGGATTCGATTCCCAGTCAAGGGCCTGTACCTTGATCCCTGGCCCTGGTCCGGGCGTGCAGGAGGCAGCCAATCAGTGTGTCTCTCTCACTTCGATGTTTCTCTCTCTCTTCTCCTCCTCCCTCCCTTCCACTCTCTCTGAAAATCAATGAAAAAAATATATTGGAGTAAGGATTTTTAAAAAAAGGTGCCCAGTACAGGAAGACTAGCCTTCGAGCCAGGGTCCAGAATCTGGCCAGTGGCCTGTTCAGCAGCCCTTCTTCACCCCAAGCCTGCTCCCCAGCCTCAGGGGAGGGAAGGCGGGGCTCTGGAAAGAATAACTGGAGGTCAGGGATCCTGGCTAGCCTAGTCCTGGGGGAGCAGAGGAGGAAGGGCAGCTTTGCCTAGGATTCAAGTGTTTAATGGAATCAGGCATAAGAGAGTGCCTCTCCATGTGCAGAGATGTGTGTGGGTCCGGTGTCCTGGTATGAGTGATCCAGGATAGGTGTGTGCACATGAGTGTGACGGGTGATGCATGTGTGGTTCCTGAGTGCAGAGACAGGAGACAGACTGGAAAAGCAGGAGCAACACTTGGATAAGGAGAGCAGGACCTTATTGGGGAGAAAGCCAGGCCTTGTCACTTCTTTTGGGAAAATGCTCCAGAGCAGTGGTCACCAACCTTTTGGACCTCACGGACCGCCAGTGGTCCGAGGACCACGGGTTGGCGACCCACTGCTCCAGAGTAAAGAGGAGGTGGGGTCAGGGCTCATCCCACCCTTCTGAACCCTCCCACCCCTATCCTGAGGCCTGGGAGTGAGAAGTAGAGGGAGGGAGTGGTGGTCTGGAGCCTGGATTGCCACCTGAGCCCAGCAAAAGGCTCTCTGGGAATTGCATGTAGCTGTCTCCTGGGATGTTCTGTGCCCCTCCACTTCCCATAGACTGGGAGGGAGGATGGAACCCAGACAAAGAGGGCGGCACAGGAGGGACGTCCTCCTTCCTGCGTCTCCTTTACCCATTGCCTCTCCCCTTTTCTTTTTCTTTCATGGTCCTGCCCTTCTTCACTCCTTTGACAGGTTCTGTCCTTCCAGAAGATAAGGTATTTGAGACCAGAGATAAGCCCAAGGGTCTTGCTGACCAGCCTGTTTCCCATGCCCTGTCCCCCGCTAAGTTTAATGAGTTGTGGAGGTCCGGACCAGAGGAGGGTGTGGGAGGGTTGGAAGAGCAGGCAAATGTATGCATTCACGTCAACACACCCCTTACTACCCAGGAGTGGCCCACGGTCAGTTCTCCTTTTCTCCACTTATTCCTGAAGCCTGATGCAGCGATCAGAGAGAGACCAAAGGGGTAGGGATGTTACCTGTCCTGCCCTGAGCTGGAAGACCTTGTTCCTTTGACACCCTGCTTGGTGTGCTGCTTCCTCACCGTCACCTGAGGCCTTTAGGGGGCAGACGGCCTGCTCTTGCACAGGCCTTTGGCAGTCAGGGGTCCAGTTCCAGCCTTCAGCAGAGGAAATGACAACTCCAGCCCTGGGGCAAGGGTCCTTGTTGTCCCACCACCTGGTGGCCCTAACCAACCAGGTGTGGGAGGTGTGAGAGAAGGCAGTAACCCTTGAAGCAGCTTTCCTGATTGCCAGCACCCCACACTTGGAGGCGAGGGACACAAGGACCTGTCCTGACCCACCTACTCGAGTCTACAAGAGCCCCGCCTGGAGTTAGGAGGGAGGCCTGGGTGTTCACGCTGATCCCTTCTCTGCTCAAGGAGTGGACATTGAGAGATGCTGGCTGCTCCCACTCAGCTCCCACCCACCACCCCAGTTGGCTTTGATTCTGCCTCTCTGGTCCTCACCCTCCTCCTTTGAGCTCCATGAAGAATAAGACAATGGCTCAGCCAGCTGGCTCAGTGATTGAGTGTTGGTTTATGAACCAGGAGGTCATGGTTTGATTCCTGGTCAGGGCACATGCCCGGGTTGCAGGCTTGATCCCCAGTGGGGGGCATGCAGGAGGCAGCCAATCGATGATTCTCTCTCATCATTGGTGTTTCTATCTCTCTCCCCCTCTCCCTGCCTCTCTAAAAGAAATTAAAACATATCTATAATAATAAAAGCATAATATGCTAATTAGACTGGATGTCCTTCCGGATGACCTTTCGGAAGAAGCCGGGGCTGTGAGGGAAGCCCAGGTACTAGGTGCCAGAGGGAAGCCGGTGCCAGCAGCTGGGGGAAGGAAGGCCTCCTCTTGCACAAATTTCATGCATCAGGCCTCTAGTCCTATATAATAAAGAGCTAATATGCTAATTAGACTGGACGGACAACCTTCCGGAACAACCAGTGGGTGGGGGGTGGGGCTGTGGGGCTGCGAGGCAGCCAGGGGAAGGAAGACCTACTCTTGTACAAATTTTGTGCATCGGGTCTCTAGTATATATAGAAAAGAGAATAAGACAGTGGACTGGGGAGAGTTAAAGGTTGGGGCAGCAGGCCCGGATTCAGTGTGACTGTGCCATCTCACACTGGCCCACCCTTTGCCCAATGGGCACCACAGGCCCCAAGAGAGATTGGCTTGTCCCCCCCCCCCCACATAAACATTTTTTCTTTGTCTGAAGTCCCTCTTCTTTTCTTCTTAGCCTTTTTTTTTTTTTTAAACCTCACCCAAGGATATTTTTCCATTGATTTTTTTTTTTAGAGAGAGTGAAAGACAGAGAGAAATATTGATGTGAGAAAAACACATTGACTGGCTGCCTCCTACAGGAGCCCCAAACAGGGCCTGGGGAGGAGCCTGCAACCGAAGTACGTGCCCTTGGCTAGAATCAAACCCTGGGCCCTTTGATCCGCAGGCCAACACTATCCACTGAGCCAAACCAGCTAAGGCTCTTCTTTCATCTCTCCTCCTCTCTTCTATGTAGCCCTCACCCTCTACTTCTTTCCATCCTTCCCTCTGGCCAGTCCCCACATCTTAATTTCCTAGGACAGTTTGAGAACAACAGGGAACCCAAAGAGTTGGTGGTAGGAGTGGGGCACAAGTCATTATTTCCTTACTTCCTGAATGGAAGCAACGCAAACCCTCCTCTGTCTAGAGCAGCGGTCGCCAGCCGGTGGTCCGCGGACCACTGGTGGTCCGTGAGGTCCGAAAGGTTGGTGACCGCTGATCTAGAGGGACTTGAAGTGGACTGCCCCGCAAAGGAGAAAGAATGAGCCAGAGGGAATAAGCTTAGGCCTCTCCTCCCGCCCTTTGGCACAGTGAAGCTCCATACAGAAGCCTGAGTGCAGAAACAGAACAGGGCTCCAACTTTACAAAATAAAGTGTTTGTTTATTATGAAATTAGAGATGGAGGCTCCTCCCCATCCTCCCTCTTTCCCCTTCCCCAGCTGCCTCCCCCTTTCCTTCCCCTCCCCTCCCGCTGGGGCCTGGGAAGCACACAGACAATGCCCAGAGCTGGGATGCCAACAGCCTGGCAGAGCTCCAGGGAGGCAGCCAAGTGTGTGTGTATGTGTGGGGTGGTGCTGGAGCTCTCCCCTGGGGGTGGGCTGGCTCCCTTTCTCTGCTGGAGGCCAGGAGAGCCAGGATGGGCCATGAGTGATGGATGGAACCATGCGGGAAGGTCTGTAAAGACAGGAGAGCCTAGTTAGAGGTAGTGAGTGGGGGAGGGCTTCGGGCCACCTGCGCCCCACACAATCTCGGGGCACTGACCTGGGGCCGAACATCCCCTGCAGGAAGATGGGCAGCAGTGGCTGGAAGTTTCTCTTGCGTTTGGGATGGACAACGGCAAAAAACAGAAATCCAGTCACAGGGACCCAGAGAGAAATGGGGCAGATGTGGGCAAGAGACAGACACAAGCATGTGTGTGGGGGCAAGGGAGACAGAGAGCATGTGAGGTTCAGAATCCAGAGACAAAAACAGAGCCACGGAGAAGGTGGAATCACAGTGACAGAACAGAGATTCAGTCGGAGCCACACAACCCAGACCCAGACAGAGTTCCAGGGACAGAGGTCCCTGGAGAGAGACACAGAAGACTCAGGAGGGGGGAGGGAGGAATGGGGTGCCTGGGGGATCAGGGACCAGGGACACAGGGAGGGGGAAAAGGCTTGGGGCCCCTGGGCTGCTGCCGCCTGCTTGGACACCGGGGTTCACTCAGAGGGCCGGTGCGGGCTCCCCCACCATGGCCGGCAGGGCAGCCCGAC